AGTTTCATTGTTGATTGTTGCTTTGTTCATGCTGATAATTGTTATTGCTGAAGCTATAATGGTTCTTGTAAAGGTAGAACTCATTCCTGTCATATTTTTTTTTGCAGTCATTATAAATTTAATTGTTAGCTGTTCACTGATAATTTCAACTTTTGATTACTTTTTGTTGATTCTGTTATTAATTTACACCACTTATGTTTCTAGTAGAAGCCAGATACTATATATATATATATATATTTTAATACGACAGCGCCTTGAATATGACATATAATACAATAGTGGAAGCAACAGCATGATATGAATGTGAATGTGGAACTTCTTTTCATCCACACTCACACTTTACCTATGCCGATACCTATATTCTCACGTCATCATGTACTACGTTGATCTTCGCATGAAGAGAGTCCCAACATGTGTTTGACAATATTTATTCACTATGTGTATTTCACATGTGATTACTTATTGCTTATTTTCAAAAATATTAGGTACACTCAAATCACAATGAGACATTGTTTGTCCTTTTCTGTGTTTCGAGAAGAGTGATTTTATTAGATAAAGTATGTCCAATGTAATCAATATAATGAACAGCTTTTTATATTTGATAATGCACAAAAAACGAAAATGAACAACAAATTAATTTTTCAAAACATTTACAGCTGTTTGCAGAATAAATAGTTGAATGATGAACTTCTTTAATACGTGCACATACGAACAATAGTACTGATCTGTGTTTCTGATACCATATAGGTCTCAAGTCAGATAAAGTGATGTTGTAGGAGATGTTTCTCTACTTGTGAGTGATGTAGAGGTGCATTAGACGTTCATATTTCTAATTGGCTGTCATCAAGGAAATGATCTATTGCTTGTAGCCAGGTCTGTGTGATTCAGTGTTAGGTGTGGTCAGTATATATGGTGCACTTCTGGAAATACAGTAGGTTCTTATGAGAAGAAAGGGAGAACTGTTGCGAATCCTGAATATAGAAGTGAATGGTTCTTCCTATCCGAAATTGTAGTAATGATGTCCGGGTGCAGGTCTGGATTAAGTAAATATTCACCACATGCCGTTCTTGGAGATTGAAATGTTTACTGTATGCTATCATCGGTGAGTAAATTATTTATTTCGTCCTTGGTTTCGGTGAGATTGTTCGTTAGTGGGCCCATCTCTTAATAAGTAATTGCTTGCTGTACCAATTTTTCAATAATGCATAGTTTCTTGGAACTATGACCTCTCTCGAATAGTCATTTGAAGAGTTAGAAAGATTTTTCCACAATAGCATGGTTCAGAATATTGACCTTGCTGAACTGCAAAAGAGTTCTAGATTGCTTATTCGTCTTGAGCACTGATATTGTGGTGTTTCGTATTGTTTTTAACTCGATTTGAAATAATTATATCAGTATTTTTGAAAATTTCGAAAATATTCCCTGTACTGTATAAGTGTCGAAGTTATTAAAATGTTTGAAAAACTGTTGTAGACCTCTCAAAAAATGGAATTAAACATCTGCATCTGACTCAGCATCATGAGTATCTATGTTTTGAATTGTTTTCCTGTCACATGAGGTCAGTGGGCTGCAATTGGTGATCTAGAAAAACTACTTATGTCTGTCGAATGGAACATGCTAGAAAATTAGGGTTGGATAGATCACAAGAAATCATTTTTTCTAACGATATGTCATATACTATGTGAAAAGCCAATAAGAGCTATTTTCAGAACATTGTTTTCAAAACGTTCGCAAAGAACTTATGTGACTGATCTGTTGTTGACGTATTCAATTTGAGCATGCATAAATGTTTCAGAGATTTTTCTCTTGAATGGTGAAAACTCCAGGTCTCTATGCCGTTTGTATCAAAATTTATTCAAAACAACAGTTCGGACCGTTGTTTTGTAGAAACGACAGTAATTCTATAATAATTTTTCAGTTATTATGTTATCCTTTATGAATTGCTGTACGCTTAAAATTGCAAAGAATCGATGTATCTAACAATAGCTGACACTTTATTTTTCACACAAGCTGCATAAAATAATCGAATGATACATGAAAAAGTCAAATAAGTTACTTAAATCGAATACTTTAATTATAATAACAATTAGCCTGGTCTTTGGCCTGCAATCCATGCTGACAAAGATTCAGGATTTCGAGTCTATAAAATATATTTGAACATATTATCTACTTTATGTTTAAATCAATCAAACAAAAATAACTTACTTGAATTAATATTGTTCCTGGACCTGTAAATCGACAAACAAGACCTTCCTTTGCATGCATTCCACTGATAAAACCACCACCGGATCTTTCAATTATATATGAACAGGTCCATGCTACCAAATGTCCATTATCAACAATCCATTGTTCTCCTTCTTTCAAATTTCG